AAACCTTCACATCCAGATAAAACGTAGATAAGAGTAGAAAGAATCCAGGACAGCATGACAAAAAATTAATAGAGGCATAGAAAAAATGATTTATGAGAAAAGGCCTAAAGAACTAGAATTACTAATCTGGAGAAGACAAAACTGAATGGGTATTTGATAATAGTCTTCAAATACCTGAAGGGCTATTTTGAGGATGGAGTTAAGAGTTTTCTTTTTTCTGGTAAATGACAAGACCAGGAGCTATGGCCTCACACTTCAGCAGAGGATACTTGGTTTACAGATAAGGAAGAATTTACCAGCTATGAGGGTAGTTAAGCATTGAACCAGGCTACCTAGAGAAGCTGTGGAATCCATATGCTTGGAAATACAATAACAGGTTAGACCAGTGGTTCTCAACTGGTTTTGTACCGGGACCCATTTGTAAACATCAATGGAGAATCCCAACCCAGTGCCCCTCACTCCCCTGCCACAGTCCCCCAAGGCGTGGGGCATGGAGGGCCCCCAAGCAGCCCCTTGCAGGCTGAAACCTCTGACAGCTTGCAAGGGAAAAGCCACCATTTCCCACATTTTTCTTCTTTAAAGGAGAATCCATTTTTAAAGTTTGTTTGCAACCCTTTCATATATTCTTGTGACCGAGTTTTGGGTTGTAACCCAGGGGTTGAGAAATGCTGGGTTAGACCAGCGGTGACTAAATCACCCAACCCCATGGCCATGATCTGGCATGTGGGGCTGGTTCACTGGTGTAATCCAGCATGTGCAACTGCATCATCTGGCCCACAGACATCCCCACCAGTCTGGAAACTTGGCAGCAGAATTGAGCAGTAGCAGTGACAATTACCACAACTCCTGGAGCTCCAGCAATTAACACTGCCACTGCTCTCCCATCACCAAAAACTTCTGGTCATTTCATCTGTGGGCTGGATAAAAATTCTGTGTGCCATATCTTGGGCACCTTTGGGCTGGACAGACTCTTGTGTCAGAAGCTAGAGCAGCAGGTAGGCAGGCAAGCCCCCAGCTCTCTCTGGTTGCCTGTGTAGGACTGGCTATCAGCTGTCAGCTGCATGAGTGCCTTCAGCTGGCCCTGTTAATGTGTTTGGTTGTGGCTGCTACATATAAGTAGCAGCCCCTACAGTGCTCTGGGGGCTGTCGACCCAGACTTCCTCTTCTGTTTAGTCTCAGAACTCTTGTTTCTCAATTCCTAGTCCTAGTTCCTGATTCCTAGTCCTGGTTCCTGATCCTGGAGTGTCCCAATCTGGTTCCTGATCTCCAGTTCCTGCTGCCCCCTTCCTAGCCTGCATCTGTGCCTTGCTTCTGCCTAAACTGTGCCTAATCCTTGCCTAACCTGCACCTGTCTCTTCCCTGCCTGAATCCTTGTTTTGTTCTTGCCTGTACCTTTGCTTAGTCTGAACCTATGCCTCCCTCCTACCTAAATCCTTTCTAGTTCCTGCCTGGCCCTCCTCCCATCCTGGAATGCTCTTGTTCCTGACTTGGCTCTCTCAGCTCTCAGACACCTGGTATTATGGTCCCTTCAGCTCATGATCCTGTTTAGTTCTGTTTGTTGACTCTTGGTTTCAGCTCTTATATTCACAGTATTATTACCTTTTGTTCTTGGGCTTCCCGGGCTTGTGTCCTTAATGCTGACATCTCACATCTAGGTTGTGCCTGTGACAACTTGACTGGCATGGTTTAGTCAGGAATGATGCAATCTGAAGCAGGGCATTGGACTACATTACCTCATGAGGTCCCTTTCAGCCCTATTTTCCTATGATCCAGAATCATACACAGAAACTATATCAAAGTTATGAAGAAAAAAATATACTTTTTCATACCTACACCAGTAGCCATTTTAATTTCTTCAAAACTGAATTCATCTCCTTCATTAAACATAAGCAGTACTAATGTCTGGAAGAGTGATACTTGAAACTCTTTCTTTCCCTACAAATGAAATAAAAACAATCCAAGTTAACATTCAGACTATAAATTTTTAATCTATACAATCTCAAACATTAAAAAACTCTGCGTTGTAGAAATAATATAAGAAATACCTTCAAGATGAGGAAAAATGAATGTTATCATGAAGCATATGCTTCCCTGGAAACACACAGCCATAGCAAAAATATAGAAATTCCTAATCTCTACATTGGTAGTGCAGTGAAAATCCAACAGGTTACTATGGACTCAGTGTTCCCTTAACAGTCCATTAGGTCTTGTTTTCAGATGTAACAGGTAAATTGCTGACTCCCCTGAAGTACACAGAAGTCATATTACTAACTTCAATGGGGGCAGTATTTTACCCTGTATTATTTAACAGAGATAAGCAATTTAGCAGAAAGGATCTCAGTAGAAAGCATCTAGTTTAAATTTAAGAATTTTTTTGGATTTTTTTTTAAATTTAGGCCAATGGTCACCAACCAATGGATCTCGATTGACTGGTTGATCACGAAGCTTCTGACAGTCAATCTTAGTCTGTTAGAGGCTCCATGACTGGGAGCGGCAGGACACACGTGGCTGGGCTGATCCACGCCCCCTGCCACCTGGGCCCGGGTGGGTGAGTGGGGTCAGAGCCCAGGCAGCTTGTCTGGGAAGTGGAGGGAGGGGCAGAGCAGGGGGTGATAGATCCTGGGGTGCCCCTGACTTACAAAAAGTGATTTTCACCATAAAAAGGTTGGAGATCACTGATTTAGGCAATTTTGCAGCCACAGTAAATTTAACAGAAGCAAGATACAGCTAAAATAGGCAAGGCAGATTAATACGAGATCTACAAATAGATACAAATATTGTATGTCAGCTATCAACTGAAACTGATCTAAATGTTGCACTTATACCTAGTTACTACTGACAGTGAATTTTGCTTTTGTTCTGATACAATGAAATTCTGTTGCTAGTGATCCCATCAGACAGAACAAAAGCTAATGTTAACCAACATTTAAGCTATTTGATACCTTAGAAATTCAACCAGCATTTAAATTTTAAACACATTCATTAGGTTACACCACTGATAACCTTTCAGTACAGTTTTGAAATGACAGAAGGCTTCACCGTTACAACAGTGGGCCTCCAAAATACATTTTGAAAAAAATCCCTACTCTCTTCTGTTGGTTTCCAACCTGTTATAAGTTTCTCTTATCATCACTGAATGACACTTCCTTTTGACACAGTCTATGCTGAAAGATGTTACATACTGTTGCTATGTAGGAATGTGGCTAGAGAAAACTCATATTACAAGAACATACAACAGAAAACCATAGTCGGATTTTAGTTTCCTCAGCAAATGGTGCTTTATTAATTAAAAATATAAGACAAATAAATTATTTAAATTTAGAAGCAGCAGGTAAAGCATTAAATAAGTGAACATACTTCCTTAAACTCTGCTTTCAGGACAGCTTGTCCTAAAGTGGTTTGCCACTGAAGTTTTCTACCACTGTGTTTTCCAAGGTAAAAGGTCTTAAACACCTCCTGAAGCTTAACCATCTATAAGCAAAGAAGTAACAAAAAAGGTTTATTTATGCTGTACCAATGTAATTTAGGAGATCGGTTTTCACAGAAACAGTTTGCTAGGTTCATATAAGTAGTACTTCAAGATTCAAGTTCACATAAAACTAAATATCAAGGGCCAAACTGTGGTTTCCTTGGTACCTGTTTAAATAGAATAAAACTTGATTTCAAACACAGCTACTTGCAATTCATATAGTTTCCCTAAAACTAAATATATTTTAATGAAGTTAAAAACAAAATTTCTACCAAAAGAGTAAAAAGCACACTAAAAGGACAGCTCTCCTCCTAAGCCCTGCTATAGTCTGTCCCCGCACCTAAACATTCAGAGGAAAAAAGCATGCTTTAAGGCCTCACTCCAGTCTTGTACTGATTACTATTTGCCCTAGTCCAAAGTCTTAAATTTGATTTGTTTTCCTAATAGAAGCCCTGGCTATTTCCAAAATTTTGCATTTCTCCACCTTTCTGAGGAGCAGTCAGTGGAGAGATAAAAGTCTTTCAGTTCCATCAAGTATCTGACACCAATGGACAACTCCTGATGAAAAGATCCAGAAGGATGAAGATAAGAATGCTTTTCCATCCTGTAAATCAAATGCCAATACTAGTCATTTTTGGGCCCTGATTAGCATAGATTCATAGATGTTAGGGTCAGACAGGACCTCAATAGATCATAGAGTCCAACTCCCTGCATAGACATGAAAGAGTGCTGGGTTCAGATGACCCCAGCCAGATGCCCATCCAACCTCCTCTTTAAGACCCCCAGGGTAAGGGAGAACACCACATCTCTTGGGAGCCCATTCCAGACCTTGGTCACTCTCACTGTGAAGAAGTTCCTCCTAATGTCCAATCTAAATCTGCTCTCTGCTAGTTTATGGCCATTATTTCTTGTGACTCCCAGGGGTGCCTTGGTGAGTAGAGCTTCACCAATTCCCTTCTGCGCCCCCATGATGAATTTATAGGCAACCACAAGGTCACCTCTTACCCTTCTCTTGTGGAGGCCGAAGAGGTCCAGATGCCCTAGTCTCTTCTCATAGGGCTTGGCCTGCAAGCCCTTAACCATACGTGTGACACTCCTCTGGACCCTCTCCAGGTTATCCACATCCCTCTTGAAGTGTGGTTCCCAAAACTGCATGCAGTACTTCAACTGCGGTCTGACCAGTGCCCAATCGAGGGGAAGTATCACCTCCTTGGTTCTGTTTGTCATGCATCTGCTGATGCATGATAAAGTGCAGTTAGCTTTTCTGATGACTTCATCATACTGATGACTCATGTTCATCTTGGAGTTCACTAGGACTCCGAGATCCCTTTCCGCTTACGTGCTGCCGAGCAGGTAATTTCCTAGGCAGTAGGTGTGCTGGACATTTTTCCTCCCTAGGTGCAGCACTTTGCATTTCTCCTTGTTAAATTGCATTCTATTGTTTTCTGCCCATTTGTCCAACCTGTCCAGGTCTGCCTGTAGTTGCTCTCTGCCCTCCGGTGTATCCACTTCTCCCCACATTTTTGTATCATCCGCAAACTTGGACAGAGTACACTTCACTCCCTTGCCCAAGTCACTGAAGACGACACTGAAGAGTATCGGTCCAAGGACCGAGCCCTGCGGGACCCCACTACCCACTCCCTTCCAGGTTGATACCAACCTGTCCACTACCACTCTCTAGGTACGACCCTCTAGCCAATTTGCCACCCACTGGACTGTGTAATCATTCAAGTCACAGCCTCTTAACTTGTTCACCAGTATGGGGTGGGATACTGTATCGAAGGCCTCTTTAGGGGTTAAAAAAACACCCCTGTCCCTTTACCATATTGTCTGGCATATAGCATGCACCATTTTTTCCTCCAAAAATCAGCTGCTGGAAATTGGGATGTGCATTGTAAGTAAGGAAATATAGTCTCAGCAGTTTCTACCATACAAAGCCTCTGCTGGGGGGGGGGAAGGGAGGGGGGAGAGAAAGTAATGTTGTACATGCTGCATGGGGGGCTCCTTAGCTGCTGGCTGTGGACACTATCTTTTTCCCCTGGCTGCCCATCCAGCCCAGCTCAACAAGAAAAGGAGTTCGGCTGAGGGGGCTAACAGATAGCCACACTGTTTTGCTTCCCTGCATATGCAGCTACCTGTGTTTTCCCTGAAAAATACCATAGTTACCAGTATTAAGGAAAGATCTTTTTTTTCTTCATTCTGCCTTACAAAAACAAGAGGGGTACCTTATTTGGGGAAGTTTTGTATGCAATAAAACATGGTATTGTAGGGTTGAAATTTAATGCCGTTAGTTACTCCAAAACATACCAACTTGAAAACATCCTCTTTTTAGGATGAGCAACACCTTTATATACATTGCCTTTTTAAAGAGCTATTGCATGGAATGAGGTAAGGATCTCAGGGGGAAAAATGGCATGTCATCCTTATCACCTTTACAAATTGTATCAAAATTCATAATCATCAGGTGGACAGAATTAAGTTTAGATAGACAACCTCCATTTTTTCATTTTCTAACAACCAAATGCTTAACTTTGCAACTTAAAAAAATACTTTAATCTGTTTTTGGTACACAATTTTGTAAATACAACTATTTGTTTTAAAATAACGAAACACACCACACCACATACACGTGAAATTAATTTCCTTGTTTAGGTAGGTCACCAGAATTTGAGCCCAAGCCCTACAGAGCCTCAATGCATACCTCTTCCATTAGAATTTAAAATGGCAACTGGCAGCAATAGTAGTGGGTAGTTATATTATATGGACCAGGCAGTAGAAGGAAAGGTTTACATGTCCAGGCATAACTCTACTGCACACACCACATAATACAATTCAGTTCTTGCAGATGGTGAGAGGCACTATGGTTAAGCGGATGAATCCTGAGTCTGTCATATTACAGACCCATATTCTATTCACCCATGTTCATTTCTAGTGCCAGACATGACTTTGTGCTCTCTGTCACAAATAATGGCTTATACTTGCTTCCCTCTCTACAGTTACCAATAGACTTCTTAGTACAAGATAACAATAAAGTGTAAACAATTTTTAACACCAGCCAAAAGAATTTAAAACTCATTGTTTCCCACTTCCCAAACCCATAAACACCTTCCCCTAGGGCTCAAGTATTTTGAGATTTGATAACAGCAGCTTCAGCAGCCATTTTGTTTATACTCTGTCCAAAGACTGTGTTTTGTGCAATTTCCTCAAACTATGCAAGATGTTCAGCAAGGTCTGGAAGAATAAATCAGCACAACTGACACGTTTAGAAATTTCAAGGAACAAATCAGTCTTAACCACTTTACATATATGCAGTAGAATTTGATTTCTGGAGTGTAATGTGGTCAAACCTAGCCAGTAAAAGGCAGTATAACTCCTGTAACCCATGATCATCTCTCTGCTCAATTAAAAGTTTGTGCTCCAAACCAGACACACCAGAACTACTCAAAAACTGATGGAAAAATATTACTGTCAGCCATCTATCCCATATTACTATTTATTTTACACCAACCTTAGTATAAGGGAGTAGCTGTACTGTTTTAGTTTATATTAAAACAAAACCCACACATAGGATGTTTCATTTTAAAAAATTAGTATTTGCCAATATTCAAGTATGTTTAAAGAAAAAGGAGAGGAAGAGGGAATAAATGTTGTGACACCCTGTCCTCCCGAAGTCCTATCCCTTAGTTTTTGTAATTTTCTAATTTACTTCCAAAAAGAGTAACAAAGTATGTAACAGCAACACTAGTAGAGGTACTGCTATTTTCCCCTCATAATACATTTTAGAAGAAGAATTCAAAGACTCACCTCTGAAGTTAAGTGAACTTCCATGGGGGTATAAGTTGGCCAGTATCCCATAGTTAGTATATTTACTGTCAGGTCTATACCGCCTGGATCACTCTGGTTCTGTACATACTAAAATGGAAAACCAAATGACCATAAAAAAATCTTGCTAAAAATCCTTTTATTAATTATTCCCAACAGCAAACAAATACAGAAGTAGTAAATCAATATGTCTTTTTGGTTACTAAGTGATCCTTGTAGTTTTTGAACAGCTAATTATTTTGGTAATTCATTATAGATATAGATCTAACTGTAAGATGAAACTGAATGTATTAATGCTTCTTATAAAAAGTGTCTCTGAGCACAATTCCTACCCTAGGAAACATATAGCTCTGAATCTATTTAATGCTGACTTTAGCAACAGGTCATGGATAGTAGCAAGAAGAGTTTTCTGTAGGTGATGGGTTCACCCAGAAAAGCTCCAGTTACTACTCTCTCAAAGCATCTGAGAAACACTTTATATATCTAGCCAATTCAGAACACAGAGAACAGCTTGGAACAAAAAGACAAGAAAGTTAACAATAAAAGTGCATGCTGGAGAGTTTTCATTAAGTGACTCTAAAGTCAAAAGAATTTGAAGAAACCAAAAAAATCCCTCTCTAAGTCAGCGCAAACACAGTAACATCAAAATATGGTATATTTTTATTCCACATGTGTTAAAAAGCTACATATTGCCATGATTTTGAAAGAAGTACGCACAGAAGGAGCTTGGGCTATATAGTCAGACAGCATGAATAAAACTGAAACATTCTGTCAACAGATGCAGGTCACTCACACTCAGAACTGGTCAGAGCCTAGCAATAATTATCACATGAAAAAACATGGTGTTAAAATGATCTTACATATTGCTCCAATAAAATGGGTGTTACATGTTGCTCCAAAAATACGATCTTACATATTGCTCCAATAATACATTCAGGCTTTTTTAACAGAACTGAAGCAAAAAAAATCAAATGAAACTACCTCACATGATTTCTCAGGAGATGCACTGAACTATGAACAGAATCTGCTCAAAACCTGTTTTGTCAAAGTTTAGTTCAGACTACATATCATCCTCACTATTGCAAAACTGATTGTGCATATATGCAACCAAAGTGAAACATACCTGCTTAAACTGAACCATGACATCTTTTGACAGTTCCATATCCTTGAACATGCCTTCCAGTTTGCTAGTGAAAGCAGCACCACATTCTGTCACAAAATAAAAGCAAAGATTCCAGACAGGGCATCTATACACATACCTTTTTTTTTTTTCCCAGAGACATGCTGGAGATGTGCCACTCCGTATGCAAGCTGAGGTGAACTGCACTGAGCAAAATGGCAAAATGAGTGTCAGTGTGCAGAAAATGGTGACTGTGCTTTTGAACTAAACCACCTCCAAAGTGTCTTAGTTCAAAAGCATGTTGCTGCCATTTTCTCAGCGCTGATGTGCATTTCGCCACTTATACAAGTGCATGAAATTGCAGCACCAGGTACTTTTCTAAGCACCTGCAAAACACACACACACACACACACACACACACGTAAAAATGCCCACGCAGAACAAGCAATTAAGGTTTAAACTTTAAGCAGACTGCTGAGTGAGATGTTAAGAAGTGCTTAACTCCCACTCTGGAGGCCGATTTTGAAATGGGTACCTAAATGACCTGGCCACATTTCCAAAAGCACAGCAATCAGCAGCTCTTAAAGAGAACAGTGGAGCCATAGGGTGCTCAACTCTTATCTGGCTTGTCACTTTTTAAATACAGAATAAGGACTCAGATTTGCAAATTACAGGTAGAAAAAAAAAATCAACACATTTGCGGATGCCCACCATGTTTAAGCTTTGACAACATTGATTTCTCAGCATCTACTGAAGCACTTTTTCCAACCAGCAGTCTTTTGGCCAAATCTTTCTTATAAAATGCTTCAAACACGTCTTTGCCTGTATGGAAACAAAAAATGAAAATAAGAAATCAAGCATATTCAGTTCTACAGAAGCATCCTTTCGTTTTACTTCCTGATCAATGGAACAACTCTCACTATAGAGCTGCAAAGAAAAGTATGCTTACAATGGTTTGGTTTTTTTTTTATTTATTTGGATTTTCTTTTTAATGCATTGGGGTTTTATTTTCTAGTGTCCAGATGCAGTTGCTGCCTTCCTTCTTCCTCAGGTCATCAGCAATCAGCCACAATCATCCAAAAACAGAATCTTTCCCTCTGGGTTCTGATTCATTATTATACAAATTGGTCTCCTGCATATTATGGGGAAACCCCTTTTGTTCATGCTTTTTCAGGCTTCTACACCCTTTTCACCAGGGCCTGCACATGGTTCTATGAAACAGATACGTTAAACAAATGCCCATGCCTTGCACAAGGGCTTCCTCAAATCTTTCCCCCTTGATACCACCAGGGTTTATTTAGCCTTTGGTTCAGAGATGCTATAATGTAATTTCAACTCTCAGATAGCAGGGGTTCTCACTCTCAGGATAGTCCCTGGTTGCTCAGAATGTTCCTGTCTGAGACCCTTTTATATTTCTTCCCTGGATCTTGTCAAGAAGAACGTAACATTGACACAGCTGAATGCCTTATCTCCTGCCCAAGAGTCTTCTAAACTGTTTCTGGTCTCTTCCAGGACCTCTTTCCTACTGGAAAAGAAGTCTGGCAGTAAATGTTAGGCTATTTTAACTTAGACACTATCAGTAGGAGAGAGAATTAAAAAATTGCAGGAAATGTTTAGAAGCCTCCCAGTTTGTACATTATATGCAGAACACCTGTTGAATACAAGCCCATGTATGCCCATTCTTAAAGGTCCCAGGCCCAGAGATTGAGTACTGAGAAACATGTGTTCTTAAAGGTTAATGTCCTGTTACTATCTATGTACTAGATTTCACATAAGAATATTAGTTTAACTAAAAAAACCAAGATCAAAATTTGAAGTACAAAAAATAATGTAAAACAGCAGAAATAGTGACAGCTTCATATTTAACATTTCAGAATTGCAGAGATCAAATCCCTTAGCCAGAAAAAGCCCCAAGTCATGCACTTTATTCAACGCTTTTACCAGGATTCTGCTGTTTTTCAGGCAAAAAGAATCATTTTGCAAATGGTGCTATTCTATGATCAATGACTGTTGTGTAAATCCTGTAATACTGTAATTCTTCTAGATTCTGAGGGAAAAGCTTTACCACATGAGCAAATAAAGGTAAAAGAGGACAGTCCTGCTTACTTCCCCCACCTGTATGAAGTGTTTGATACTGACATATTTTAGGGAAGTGCACTACAATAAGCTGTGAAATGCTTTAGTGTTATCCTCTCAGTGCTACTACGCACCCTCTACTGGCACTCTTGTCTACGGGTGGAGTTGGGGAAGAAAAAAACAAACCACTCCATGTAGGACTCTGATATACTCTATCCAGGAAGTAAGAGCAAGCGTGATAGTGAAGGACAGGAAGGAAATCTACCAATGAGCTTTGTGTCTCCCTCCTTAGGGGTCAACCCTTGATTACTGTGCAAAATTACCACTGGCATCATTTTTAGTCCCAAGCCAGAGACTCTAAACAAACATGTAACTGGGCCATACTACTGGAATTAATATACACAAAATTGATGGACAATGCTGTGAGCAGCAAGGAAGATCAAATTCTCATTACATGTATTTTTAAATGTGTATTCTTACCATGAATGAATCGAAATATTATCATGATTTTGTCAAGTATCCTTTCCAGCTCTTCATCTGTTGCTTCTTTATTGCCAGCTCTCAACTTTGAATCCACATATTTTGCTACAATAAATAAAAAGTTGAAGAGCTTAAAAACAAAATCACTTTAAAAGCACTGTTTTAAGTATTTTCATTCCCAATATTGCTATATATATATATTAAAATATGGGTAAAGTGCCAAAAGTTTATATTTTATAATCAGTTGTCCCTCCCCTACATTCAGTGGAATTATACTAAAATACTGCGTTACTAGTGGAAAAATGTCACAGAACTGACCAAGAAAAAGATGAATACAACAAAAGCTTTAAAATTAATACACTCTCAAATTTTTATGTTATGTTATGTTCACTACAAGAGTGCAAGAGTGTTACTCGTTGAGACACAATGCTTTGGAATTGTACAAATGTATATGAATGTATTATATGAGACACAAAAAACAAACAACACGAAGAGGACTGTATTTTTGTAGACCTTTACCGTACACCTCTTGCTCTGGCCAAAACTTAAACAGAAGCGATGCTTTCAAGTTAGTAGCTTGATAATGGCAGAAAGAAATAGGAGTAAGCCATGATCTTAGTTGAGGATCTAAAAAGTCAAACAAATCTCTCTCTACTAATACCTACCAAATTGTATGACAGTGGGATGGAGAAGGAAACCATTGTAACAGCAGAGGCTACAGAACACATGAATAGCAGCAAATCCATATTGCTGCTTTGCATATAGCAAATGGTATAAGCTTATTCTTTCTATATAAGGTTGCCTTTAACAGACACCATTAATCCTATTGAGCAGGCGAAAACAAAAGAATGTACTATGGAGAAAAATTGGAGGTCTGCCCCTCCCCCCCAGCCGGTGTAAACTATCATAGCTCCACGGAACGGAAATCAACACAGCTAAAACATTGTATGTCACCCTTGGAACTGCCCTTATATTACTTATTTCAAAACATGTTCAAGTACATTAATAGGGCAGTGTGGCACTTATAACCTAACTCCTTCTGCATAATTTCAGACTAACATGGCTAACTGCCATTACAAGTACATTAATAGATACTAAATGATTAAGGCTTTCCTCTTCCTAATTTCTGAGGTCCTTAACAACCATCTTCTATATAAAGATAGCCTCCCTATAATTTAGTGCTTTTTACTGGTCTCCAAACTTCAGCCCTGAGGTGAGACGGGGAGGTACTACTTCCTTTGAAGGGATGTTGGTCTTATCACAAATCTGGGCTGCCACTCTGTGTAGCAAGTGGAGAATTGATTACCAATATAAGCCTCATTCATAAAGCATCTAGACTGTTCTCAAGAAACAGTTATAATTCTTTTTGTACTAGCTATTCCATTCCTTTAGCTACTTCCTCCACTTCTGGAAAGTGGACATGTGGTTTTCTAAGCAATTGTTAGCATCACTCGCAATGTAATAAGCAGGATGCAGGAGTTGACAGGCTCCTTCAGGAGAATGAACATACACCTGACACAACACACCCAACCTTTTTCCTGGATCCTGTGACACATCCAGATTAGCCTGGTATCCCAAAATCAAGCCTTGTAATAGGCTAAGTACTGCACTGCTATTACACTAGCATACCCAGTAACTTTATCTTACCATACTTTCTATAGGTCTTACAAATATTTTACAGAAAAATATTTTTGTACCTATCAATTCTGCAGGCTTATTTGGTCTCTTGTTGATAAATGTTTCAAAGGATTCCTTCATCAAGTTTATAAATTTTTCATTTTTCTGAAAGCACACTTCTATGATATGGTCCACTTTATCCTTAAAATCTAGTAGCTCTTGCACCATATCCTTGTCCTTTTCAGGATTAACCACTATTGTTGTCCCAAAATTCTGTAAAAACAAACACTTTTGATAATCAAATACTTTAGTGCTACCTATCTCCCCCAACAGACACGCACATCTTTACAAAAGTTCACAATTAGAAAAATAAATATCATAGAGCTGCTTGATAACTGAAATCGTAAGAAAGTTTTCAAAAATGATGAGATGCATTGAAATTTAAAATAAAATCTGGACACACATTCATGGATTTCAAACAGTAATGTTTAAAATTTACATTAAAACACAAACTAAAAAAAAATTACATAGTAGACATGGATTGTATGACACACGCACTTACAGTTAAATACAGAGCTACATGACCATGTAAAAGAAATTATGTGGAAAGTGTTGCAAGAATGTTCAGTCTAATGGAAAAATCTGCATGACCTTTTTAAAGTCCACTGAATTTCTACTTATTGGCAGAAATAGCCAGTTATGATTTAGCTGTTTCTGACTGATCCAAGCTTTCTACGTGTCAATGAAAGCTACAAAAGTGAAAAAAAAAAGTTGTCACCAGGTTTTAAAAAAGCTGCTGCTTTGCAGGGACAGAATTCTCGCTTTATCTTCTTTTAATCCCATCTTGTTTCTGCTTTGCCTATATGTCCAATTGAGATATAATACCATTGTCTACCAAATCAGTCCATATGACAATATTCTGACTGATTGCATTTAAAAAGTAGCAACATTAGAATCTGGCTTCTGTCACAAGTATAGAGACAAGTATAGTTTATCAAGTAAAAACAAGGGTTATCTGCGCAGTGGCAGCAGAAAGACAGATCATTTCTCCAATAACTGCAGCTAAGGTATTTAGCAGTGACAAGAGAATAAACAAAAAAGGCAAAACAACTCAGACTTTGCCCTTACTACTACATTATCCACAGTAGTACTTCATTGACAGTCCTTCATGCACTGCATGCTACTTCCCCTGCCCCGCAACAATCTCCCTGGCTTGGTTACAGCTACCTCTCTCTCATACTTACATGGGTCCTCCTATTACTGTGGAATCTTGGACACCTCACAGTCTTTCATGTCTTACCCTCACATTTATTTATTTATGCTAGGGAAGTGGGACTAGTCCATTTTATGGGTGGAGAACTATGGTACAGAGAGACTAAGCAACTTGCTTAAATCAGATAGTCAGTCTATGGTAGACTATGGACCTGAACTCAGACACCTTGATTTTCCTTTAGGCACATCCCCTACCCCCAAGACTCCTTTTGACTTCCTCTGCCCTAATACTCCTCAAGGGGCTAGTCCTTCTCCCTCTACAAACATTCACTCGATCTTCTAACCACAGGACTTATTTCCTCCTGGTGCAAGTATTCAGGGTCATCAGGGACCTTATCTATATAGAAATCTTCCACACTATTCAATCTTTCCCCCATCTGGGACGAGACTGTAGAGTGGTTACAACCAGTAATAATGCAAGTTTAGTTTCTAAAATGCTAGGTTTCTGATCTGTCTTTCCATATACTGACTCACAACATAAGACATATGAGTTCCAAGAGTTTCAATGCAACATCTTCCCATCATACACCCAACCTCCAGTTTAAAGCTACAATGTAAAAGGTCTACAAAGAAGGCTGGACAGGAGATTTTTTTAAACTGTAAAAACAATTCTACTAAGCAAGGCTAATATGCAATTACAGTTAAATATAGAACTGAGCTACTGAATTCAAGATAAAGTTGTGCTTTCATATCTCTTGTATAGAACTTTATTGCTAGCAGCTTCTAAGAGAAGTAGCTGGCAAGCTCTTTGGGAAATATACCTTGTTTGGGCTATATATTTGTCGAGTGCCTGGCAAAATGGAACCAATACCTCATTTTACTTGGTTTTATTTTTTTTAAAAATAACTCATTGAATTTTTCAGAACAACAGGGTAAGAATCTAGCCTGTTAACTGCTGCTTTTTATATCAGTTAAACAAAGCACAACATGATCTGCATTAAACACTGCTGAAGGATGTACCAACTACATACTGATATTTCACTGGTTTTCTACAAATGTGACTGGTGTATATGACACAAAGTTAGGCTGAAGCCTAACTTAAGCAAATAGTTGTATATTTTGCACAAAACTTAGCTAACTTAATAGCTCAGCATTTTCTAACATCCCATGCAGCTCTATTTTTTTCAAAATAAAATTTCATTTTCAGTTCTGAAAAGAAAATATTTCCTAAATATGAATGTCAAATCAAAATGTATGTGCTGTAGTTTTTCATCACAAGCTTTCAGGATACTGCTCAGCAAAATGGGTGCACTGACCAACCGAAACACCCACAGACCTGTTTAAAATAGTTTTGATGAACACAGCTGAGTGTTTTATTGCTCCTGCCTACTTGTTCAACACTCAAACACTCATTCTACTGAAAACATCATAAATGAGACCACTGAGAGGCATTATTTTGTAATACCTTGATGTATTCACTCCAGTGTTGCAACAGGATCTGCTGCCCACCTTTTACCCGGCTGAACAGCTGATATGTCTGTGTAAGTTCTGATATTCTGTTTTCATCAAGCAGGTTATCAAGCCCTAAAAAACCAGAACAACAAATAGATTTTATTTGCGTAGTAAGAATAAAATTAAAAGACACAATTAGAGGATCTGTGAGCTCTATGAAATAATCAAAATTAACACATTATAGCCAATACACTAGACTTTCTTTTGTATGTAAGGGCTATGTTCAGCATTGATAAATGTCTATGTTTACACTACCTGAAATGATTTGTGGCATATTATTAAAAAGAGAAATGATTGTAGATTGAAGTACTTCCATTTTCCAACCATGTTCTGCCTACTACAGGCTTGCTGTGAAGTATTTTATTATTAATAATGACAGTTCTAGTAAAACTTTTCCATCTGTGGATCTAACAATTTTCTAAAGGAAGCCAGAATATTAAGTCAACTGAACCACCTAAGTTTTCAAGCAGTAAAAAAATGTACACTGTGAAACCCTGTGAAAGTTTTTTCTGTGGTTAACCTTGTTTTTCTGTTAAGGATGTGTTATGAACAGAGAAAGTATCTGCTATAAAGTAGTATTGATACATACCATCACAAATTCTTTCCTATAGTTCACCTCTACCTTTGTTAATATTCCCCATGACAACACAATTTCAACATTGCAGATGCCACTCCATTCATAAATTGTATTATGTTAACATATTACAAATATTTCTACTTGCCAATTTGCTTTTGTCCAATTAAATTTCAAGATTCACGATTACTTTAAATTACTGCTAACTTGTATTTTCAGATTACCTGCTGAAAGCACAAAGCATCTTAATCTTATCAATACTGCCATTGTGTGTTATACTTTATTCTACTTATACTAAGGTGAGGAACATCCAAATAAGATAGAGGAAAACAATTCAAGATGTCAGCCAAGAAAGCATAAGTGAAACTGGCTCTCAGTCTTTAGTGTTTCTTCCACACTCTCAAATACCCAGCGAAATACACAGTATCCAGGTAACTAAAAAAGGTAAATTATGGTCTCTTGAAAATATATCAGTTGGGGTTTCTTTTGATGAGATATGAGAAATGAAGAAAAGTATGCTCTGCCACATCACAACAGTTTCCAGTTAGTTCAAATAGAACAAATGACTAAATAGTATAAGAAAATCAGTTTCATACTCACCTGTTCACTTTCATTTAACAACATCATTATAGTTTGCAGTGTTCTCTTCAGTATTATTGGTTAAAAGTAAAGGGTTAAATACAATGACAACATTCCTTTTTCTGGCCCATGCAGCAGTGTCAAACATAAGGCCTAAGGGCTGAATCTGGCCTGTGGAACTGTTGTGTCTGGCTCACTGGTAGTCTGGTGCCCTCAGCTCTGCACTGCCACATGCCCTGGGCACTGTTGACCAGCCAGAGCTCCATGCTGCTGTGCAGAGGTATGGAGTTGGGGGCCAGTGGCTACACCAATCCACATTCAGATGGCTGCATGGAACAGTGGCTGGTCGGTATTGCCTGAGGCCTGCAGCAGTGCAAAGCCAAAGGCAGGCAGCAGCATGCAGTCACATTCGGGCAGCACAGATGAGGGGGCAATGCAGTGGTAAAGAGCCTGGGGCATGCATTGGCATGATACTCTCTGGCTGTATATGGCTCTCTGCTATTGCATACCACCATCTCTGTACCACTGCCCAGCCATAGCTCTGTATCACCTCACAACTCTGGCTCTTTACTGCCCAAATGAAGTTCCTTGCAGCTGCGTGTCCCTTTCATATACCTGGACCAAGTGCATACTGGTGTGGATATTCTATTGCAAGTTTGATAGGCAAAGGAAAGGTATGGGAATTTCCTTTAGAACAAGAAGACTTCACACAACTTCTTGAAAGCATTGCTGTGGCCCTGGAATGCTTTGTTATACTCGCAATGAAAACAACCAACATCTAGTCAGTGGCAGTTGTAAAAATACAAGAAGAAAAGTTTCTCATACATACCCTGCACTTGTAAGGTTTTTTTTTCCTTTATCAAACTGACTACATCACATGCCTTCTCCTAAGGAACAAAACCTACAAAAGGCAGTGTCTTCTTCTACTTGCACTGCACACTAGGATGTTATAAGTGGATTACAATGTGCTCCTAGATCAAATGAATGCAGAAAGTTATGTAAGTCAATAGATGTTAGACTTACTCAATTTAAGTGCAGATACAGAAAGTGAAAGCTGATCTAAAATATAACAATCTCAAAATATAAACATAAAAACTATGTAATATACAAATCCATATGTTTATGGACAGTGAATCTATATTATGAATGCAGAAAGAGTTTAGAATGAAACAAAAAACCCATATTTTTTCTGACCCAATTGTCTGCAACAAACACAATTGTGAAAGTTCATTAAGCAGTGCTTGCTTTAACAAGACAGGCTTGTAATTACATGGGTTCTGCTGATGTTTATCAACAAAATTATTAGTTATCCATACTGCTTTTGAAAAAGGCCAGTGGATTGACTCTATTTATTCACTTAAATATGTTGAAGTTAAAAAGTAAAAAAAACCCTAGCACCTCAGGGAAGACAGAAGACTAAAGAATTATTTATCCTTAAAAGCGAACAAAAGAGTAAGTAAAGAAATAAGATATAGTACAAGATTATTACACAAACCTGTCTAACAGCATCATACACTGACAGGGATTGGAATGACAGGAAAAGTGCTGGAAAGTAACTCATGTAAGGGGCATATTTTAACAGAAGTTTGGGGGCGGAAGCCTTCTGCACAGAGAACAAGACTGATACAGAAGGAACAGGTTCTGGAAATGTGTGTGGCAGTTGGTCACTTCCAGGTTAACTAACAGTTAGTATTATTTAAAGGTCTAAATGAGAAAGCTGTTGAAATCTAAAGGAATTAGAGACAGAGTGAGAAAGCGAGAGAGAGGGGCAGACTAATCGCACAGAACCAAATCAGATAACTGGCCCGCAGACCAGGTAGAGAAGCAAAAAAAGTCAACATCAGACATTCTGAGAAAGGTATATTTGTATTTTGAGGAAGCTAAGGAAAGAACAAAAGGGGAGGAAGAAAGAGGAGGGGAGAGAAACAAGAAAACAAGAGGCATGATATCAGCTTCCCAGAAGATCCAGAACCTAAAAACTATCCAGAGCCACAGACAGAAAGGGAGACTGAGAATAAAGCATTTATAAGATCTGGGAATATCAATCAAGCCCAGAAATCCAGCAGAACAAAGAAAAAGACTGTTCCTATAAACTTTTTTAATGCAAGAGGACATTGCAGGCACTGATGTCCCAACAAATCTAAGATTGCCAGAGATACACAACAAAGTATGGAAAATATATTTTGCATTACTTTAAACAGATATCCCCACTGGGATGTTGCTCTCTTTGATAGTATATAGTTGTTTAAATACATAACCACAAGTACATGGGAAACTGTCACCTGCGCTGTGTAATTATTATAATGCATGAAAACCTACTGCTTTAGGATAGCATTTTTCAACCCATATAAAAGTGTTGAGAACAAACTTTAAAAATGGATTCTCCTTTAAAGGACAAAAATGTGGGAACCCGTGGCTTTTCCCTTGCAGGCTGCCAGAATTCCAGGGTACAAGCAGCTGCTTAGGGCCCCCCATGTCTCACACAACCCCCACTGCCCGGGTCGGGACTGGCCATCAATGTTTACAAATTGGTCCTGGTACAAAAAAGGTTGAGAAACACTGCTAGTCCCAGGACACATTAATTTAGGAGACTGCTAATCCCAGGACCATACACATTAAGAGATTTTATTATGAGAAAACTATATTTAACCAAACCCTCCATAAAACTAAAATTAAAAACATGTGCATGTTTTCCTGTATATAATCTGCTTGCCCAATTTTACTTGGCTTTCTTTTTGTGGCAGAGTTGCCTATGGCCTATGTTCTTTATTAAAGAAACAGTTGTACAATCCACAATTATTCCAGACTCTGAGAATCTGTCATTAATGGTAGATTACAAGAGCCAAATAACAGATACCTTTTTGCAAAATAGCAGTTAAGTGTTCTCCTAGTAGTTGCTTCTCCACACAAGCAATTAGTGGTTTCCTATGTAGGGCAAAAAAGGTATATTAGAAATACTGTACGGCTCAAGCCAAATAACTTTCCTACCATCACATAGGTATGAATATTCCCATTTTTACAGGAAGAAGATGCCTATAACTGTGCAATCTGTATTTTAAATAAATCCAAACACCACAAAATGTATGCTATTAAAAATGGAAATACAGATTCAGGTATTTTTTTTTAAAAAGCAAGATTGTGTAATTCTTAACAACTTCTCAGATGTTTTGAAAAGTTTGTACAGTTTCAAAAAGTACAATACTCTTTTTAAAAACACAAACTCTTCTAAAATGGCACTTCTGAACTAAACACTACACATGGGATTCAAAATTGAACCTCATCCAAAATTTTAATCCAAAATTCATTATTTTCAACTTCAGAGGTACGCTTCTTAAAGTAGAGAATAGGAAATCAATGATGTTTGAAAAGCAAAGTCTTCTTGTTAGGTTAAACAGGTTGTGTTAGCAGAGCTACTTGTCCCTTAACTTTCACAGACGGCCAAAATTCATTATATATGTAGAAAGAAATCACTGACACCAGGTTACTCTATATAAACTGAAAATATGTATGCATGGGCTTAATAGAACTACTCATGTACACGAAGCTGGTATCAGCAGGAATAATTGTGGAATTAAACATTAATTATCCTGCAAGTAATCATTTGTAGAACCAAGTCCTAGTGTTAAAATCTTGTGATGTGAATCTTATGCAGCAACATATAATGCAAGTGAAAGCATTTTATATGTCCTATAATAAAGGCTGTGAGGAATAAGTTTGTCATGTGAATTGAGAAAAGTTTATTTTAAAATCACCATTATAACAACCAGAAAATTAGAATATATAGGCTAGAAGACGGGTAAAAAGATGGACTGCTATTTTAAGTGAAAAATTTGAAAAACGTTAACGAGAGATTCAATAGACAGGCAATTCTCTGCCCTCCAGCAGTTTGAGCTACAATGTCATTATCAGTGCACAAATGTTGATTTTAACTGTTCTGATAACTCATGTAATATATTAAATAACTAAAATATTTCAATAATTACACTTTATACTGCTAAATAACTCAAAATATCCTTCCCTATTTTTATCATCAAAAAATAAAAGACTTTAGAAAGCAGAATTTATGACAGGTGATGTCAATCATCAGACACCATCAATATAATTCAGCTTTCTTTGCAAAAATGATACTGCTTTATGAACAGATGGGAAGTTGGTTGACCTACAGTGATAATAAGATAACTTGTACTCACTGTGTACTGTGGTCTAAATAAGTTATAACTCTGTCACCTTCTTCTTCTAAACGCTTGCTAACATGGTGAAGATATTCTGGGACCTAGCAAGACAAATAATGACATGGCTCAATAATTAAAGAAATTAAGGATGACATTTTTTTCATGATGATTATTGTAAACTGTATATTTAAGAGTGCTGATCTCACAATGATAAGAGAATAAAGGAGACAGAATAATTCTAGAAGTCAATTAAGCGATATGCACTGTCAAAATTATTTGATACCGAGAGTTAAAGCAGCACACAGCATGAATGTTCATAAAATTATAAATATGTATATATTGGAATAAATTTAAAATTGTCACTATTTGGGCTGAAATGACATTGACCTAAGATAAGGGACTTATTTGGCTTACACAACGGAAGTCCAAAATGAGGGCCTTGTAGTCTTAAATGGCGAGACACTATGGTACAGACCCTGAGGGGGTTATCATCATATCTGTTTCACATCAACTACAACAATTTCCACACCCTATCTGCCCCCATGCAGCAAAGGTGCACTTTTGACACAAGTGTGTCACTCAAGCCCCAAATAAACAGTTTAAACCATGCATACATATATTTACAGAGTAGTGGCTCAGTCCTTTAGTTTTCTTCGTACCTTCCATCAGGTATAGAAAAATCAGTAAGAGCCCTGTTTTCAAATTCCATAATTCTCAGACCAGTTTCTCCCACCCAGAAGTTTTTGAAGATGAAGTCATCAAGAAACAGAGTGAAAAATGGCAACCTACACCACATTAAGGACACAGCATAGTTGTGGTGAGTCAATTTTGATGTTGAAGTATTTTCTGCAGTCCCCATACTGACACTCTCAAATATTTTATATTAATATCTTTTGTTATACAATTTAGGGCTCACTTATATGACTGTAACTTAACAAAGAAAAACAATACTGCCTTAGTCTATTGAGTGATTATACCTTTTTTAACATTAAACGACTTAATTCAGAATTCAGCATAGAGATAAGAACGATATTAAACACACTAATTTTATCAGTGAAGTAATACTGACTATATCATTTAAGTTTTTATTATTGTGATTTCTAGTCTTTGGTTTTATGCAGACAACATTTTTCCATGCTTCCTCCCTTCTAATTGCATGCTTAAAGGTATGTAAGTGAACTGGGATCCAATTCTTGCCCCAGATACACCAAAGCAGCACTCACTGAAGTATCCAGACATTTATGGGCATATCTTAAGGCAGACCTAGGTCCCACTGTTCTTTAACATTAACATGTCTCTTATCTTCTTATGCATGACAATGATTTGACATAAAAAATTCAGTTCTTCCCATAGCACTTTAAATAATGTGAAAGTGCTCATTTACATAGTAGACAAGGTTCTTTGAGTAGATGTGGGAGGAGGGGAAGCCAAAGGTGAGTAAGGGAGACTATACAGACTCCACTTTGCCCCCACCCTGCTTTCTTCCCCCCTCCCTTCCCTGCTCTACCTTTTGCTTACCTAATTTCTACCTATGTACATTCTCAGTGACATCCTGTCATACTTTTAGCTTCTCTCATTCTTTGGAGTCTCAGAACAGCAGAGGCTTCCTATGCCTGAAGAAGGGTGATTGTGCCCAAAAGCTTGCTAAGAACTTTTTTTCCAGCTACTCAGTCTAATAAAAGATATCACATCTATCCAAAGAACCATGCCTGCCTATTTCCTTAGACCAACACAGCTACCACCAAAAACCTAGCATTTACAAAGTATGTGTTTACCTCTCTTTCTTGCATTAACCGTTGGCCCTCTGCAGCATATAAACAATTTGTCTCTTCCAAAAACTTTTGTTCAAATGACTCCTTGTAAACCTATGCAAGGAATAAATTACAAATGTGGTTATTCAGAAAGCTCATCGGTTGCTATGATGAACAAATACAATATGTGATACTTTCAATGATTCTGCCAGATTAACCCCTCTGAATCATAACATTCTTTGTTTATTCTCTTAACAGGCACAGAATGAGTAAGAGCAATACAAGCTTCTCTACTGCACCAGTATTGTGTTTTGATCATGGATTTGTTGTCTAATTCTTTTAAAATCAATTAGCTCACTTGCCAATATAATAGCACAGTAATGGAACCCTAATTCAGGTTAGTTCAAACCTCCTGCCAGCAGCCCTGTAGCAAAGGTAACTGCTACAAATGAGGACAACTTCAGCATGTAAACAGGCCATCCTCTTCAGTCAAATGCTTGAACTGGTCAGGAGCATGTTAAGAAAAATATTTTTCATCCAAGAAATCTAGTGATCGGTCAGGCTGATCACAATGACAAGGTGAGGTATAGCAGGAAAGGTGGACTTTCCTTTTCCTCTTCCCTGGAAGCAATTCCTATTGTTGAATGAGACAGGGTTCAAGAAGGGCAACAAGTTAGTCCTCAACTATGAAATTCACTGCCTAACAAAAGCAGATGAGCAGGAATCTCATTATGTTCAAACAAAATATAAACCTATAACTCATCTTTCATACAATAAGCAAGTACAACTGCTAGCATGAGTGAGAAACAACAATCACTGTATGTATTTACTGAATAATTTGTAAAACACTCAGTGCCTGGCATGAAAAAACCCCCTAGATTAGATTAGGATTCCTAACATAGAGGTTGAAGTACTGTTTCTGAAACAATCTGAGTCATATCTAAACACGTATTAGAAAAAGGATCTAAGAAAAGAATGACATCCAGCTTTGGTTAGCAGAGCAGATCACTAATCCTAAAACAAACAAACAAAAACCCCAAACCCTAGACTCTTTAAAAATGTGGCAAGTATGAAAAAGGTGATGTAGCAATAAAGACTAATAACAAAGAGAGCTTGGGGAGGGGGAGAAGGGAGGGAATGAACACACAACCTAGACCCATAGCTAGGGAATTCACTGAACTTGATGTGATGCAAAGCAAGTAACTGACAGAAGGTTATTTTATTCACTAGAAACTGAGACTAACAAGGGGATTATTTATTTTCCCCTTGATCATTTATTTTCAGACACAATACGGAGGATTATGAATGACAGTTAAGATGTTTAGCAAGAACTGTAAGAACCAGGTTGGGTTTTTACTACCTGCCTCTCCTCTTAGTCTTCTCTAGCATCTTATCTTTCCCCAGCCATGTTAAATACCAATTCAATTAAACTATGAACACCAATGCTAAATGATTTACTAAAAGACTCAATGATTTCAGTGGTGCCCCACACAGAGCACACAGCATGACTGGATGCTAACAGATGGATCACATTTACCCAAATCAAAAGTACAAAATTTATTTCAAGCTTATTCTAATTAAATCCATTAAGTTACAGACAAACCACATTTAGTTAGAGATTGCTCAGAATTCGTGTCCTAATCCGTCCCTAGAGCCTCTGCTAAGAAGCTGTTTAAATGTGGCAATGGTTTTTATGTTAGAGGCTCTTATCCATCAGGATCTAGACTAAGAGGAAATTCATTTTGCAAATGCCACACTTGATGTTAGGATAAGACAAGTGACTAAATTAAGGCAAAAATAGAAAAATAATCTCCTCTAATGAGCACCAGGTTTAAAAACATCAACTTGAAGTCAGACCAGTAACTGGAAAACACTGCAAGATGCTGTTATGCTAAAAACCTCAAGCCTGGTAGTAAAGTCAACCTTCTCCCAGTCAGGGTGGAAACCCAGTATAGGGAAGAGCAAGAAAAATTCCCATTGTGAACTTTGTCTCGCCTGCAGCAATTTACAATGATAATTTAATGCAAGGATGTTGCCTATCATTTAAGAGGTACATCAAACTTCTGCTGACAATACAAAAACAAATGAATAAGAAATAAACAGGCCAGGACATATTCAAGTCAGTCTATAAAAAGGGTTTTAGAGATAGAAGAAGTAGACAAAATAGGTTGTTGCCTATGAAAGCTTATGTCTTTCCCAACTAGTTAGTCTCTAAGGGCACCTATACATGAGTGTGGAGGCTGCTTGGATGTACTGGAATTTGATTAATCGAGTTTGCTGGAGTGCAGCACTTGCTGCGCTCCAGCAGCCTCTTGGGTCTCATGTATCAGTGTCCCCATGCTTAAAAATGGCAGTGAGGGTGCTTGAGCTAAAGCTTGTTGAATAAGTTTTAGTTCAAGCACCTCCATTGCCATTTTTTAGTGTAGAAGCACTGATAGAAAAGACATGATGACTCTTTAATTAGAGCAGCTCTCGGAGCTACTCTAATTAAAGTGCCGCACCCCACACCACCCTCAGAGCAAACGTACAAGTGCCTTAAGATGCCACCCTGCCCTACCTTCATTTATCTCTTGTTATGGAATTAATTTATACCTTGTTAAGCTGTCAAATATGATTACACTGAAAAACAAATAGAATTAAGTATATCAATAGAATCCAATTTATTTTATTGAAAGCAAATCAAATATAGTAACTACTCCTATTCCTTAATGATTTTAATAGAGATTAAAATGGAGGTTTTCCTAGGATTTTTTCCAGCTAGTACAGCCATGTACTTTTACCACCTAAAAGAGCCTTTCTATTTAAGTTTCCTCACAGTTATGTGGCAAGTCATTCAACTTAGTTCATAGCTAAACACAGTGCTGCCATTGCTACATGACACATAACAAAGAGCCAGAAAACATACAGGCATGTTAATGCAGGCCACAGTACTTTACTGTACAGTATATTATTAGAGAACTACTTCTGTGGATGGTGGATTCACATCTTTTATACAAGTCCTTTGAACTGGAACATCAGCATATTTACAGGTATGCAGAAAGAGATCTGCTGTGTTCTTGGGCCTGTTTTTTTAGTAGCATAATTCTCAACACTAACTATAAAAACGAATTATGCTATAAAGCCTCACTGAACAATTTATGTACAAATGTTCTAAACCCAATCATGATCTAAAAAATATGGTTGCAGTTTGAAAGTGCATCTTTATTAGGGGGAAAAAGTTATTATTTCAGGACACAGAAGAATCACGAAAGGTTCAAGATGCATCTCTGCATTTAGGTGTAGCTGGTATTTGTTAAGTTTGTCATACTTACTTGTAAATCAGACAGCATGCTCAACAAGCTTCGCAACAAACTTCTGTCGACAGCTTCACCATTTCGTTCTCGTTCAATCAGGAGGAGGATTCCATCAATGGTTTTGTTTTGAACTAATTTATCACTAATAATGTGATTTCTAAAAAGTTCTAGCCCCATATCCCTGTACAAATATTGAAAAATTAATACATTCAAAAATATATAGTTTAATTGACATGACCCAAAGATAGTGACATACTTTTAAAAGTTACATCTAAGTTTGAAAAAAAAATTGTGAAACTTTTATTAACTTTTCCTGATAATGAAATGTAAATGTAATGTTGTACAGGAGTCAAATAATTAACAACTTGTTGAACAGTTTATATAAATTCTTTAGCACTGGTGTCTTGAACTGTAAAAAGGCAAAAGGTACTTATTTGCAGGTTATTAAGAATATTACTACAAATTAGATCAGGGATTGGCAATCTAAAGCCTGGGGGCCATGGAGCCACTGGATCCAGCCTGCTGAGATGGGGCTCTGGTGGTTTTGGGTGGTAGGAGGCTTTTGAAGAAGCAGCAACGGCAGGCGGGTTCTGGGACCTGCCCACCCACCTCTGACCCAGTGTGAAGCATTCCAGCATGCAGCTGAAAAAGGATGCCTAACACTGGCATAGCAAATTCATACATAAACTTCCCACATTGTCACAGTAGTCAATCTAATTTTATGTGCTTTTTTTCATTAAAAAATGTTTGAATTTGCTATGCCAGTGTTAGGCATCCTTTTTCAGCTGCATGCTGGAATGCTTCACACTGGGTCAGAGGTGGGTGGGCAGGTCCCAGAACCCGCCT